TGCTCTTTCTTATAGGGTTGGTTTTTTGGGGGGATAAGATTGCTTCTTCACAAGCTTATCCCGCCCCGACCGGCAGCTGCTAGGTTTCCCGATCTCTCCTAAACTTCCCCGGTCTTCGGCCGCGAGCTGTATGAGGCAAAAACTCGTCCCACGTACGGTTCGGAGGCCGAGCCCCACCCAGCAGTAAGGGTGCGGCTTAGGTCAACTAACACAAAAAAAGATACAGTTCACTCAACGATTGCCTTTGGGTTCCGAACTCCATATGGGAAGGAGCGTTGTTGTTTGCGAGGTCTTGATCATTTACATGGACCCACTTTTCATTCCATTTGTGGGAATTTGATGATCTATAAACCGTCCTAACGAACGATCGGCTCATGTTGGAGCATGATGAATCACTTCGTGCCGACCTGTTGCCAATCCACTTTCCGGCCTCATATGAGAATGGAAAACTGGAGCATTTTTCTCTCTCATAGTAGAAAAAGTATGAAGAATCGCGAACAAAAGAATTTCTGTTTGACCATGTTCCCAGAAAAAAGATACTTTCGAGAAACGACGAGCACGACTGAAGTGGCTATACATACAAATCTATTTACGGATCTATATGCTTCGATTGAACTGGAAGTGAAGAAAGGGCGGCTGGTATACACCAATAATGAAAAAGCCCTTTCTTTTTTATATTCGGAAGGGATTTTCGTTGGCTTCGTCGGGAGGCTCTCGTAGTTTGTTCAGTAAGTTCAAAAAGGATCGGTGGTCTTGGAGTTGAGAAAGTTCCGTGGAGAATATATATCAAGCGGTCTACAGAATAAAGTGGAAGATGCCATGGCCAAGTTTCGGGAAGCGTATCGAACGTCCGTCTATTCCCGCATTTGGCTACTTCTTCATACAATTAGTCTGAATAGAGAAATGACAATAATACAAAGCGGCATTCTCCCTTTACTCTATCTTGATTGAGAATGGAATTATGAGAACAAACTCCCAGAGCTGCGGAACTAAAGAGTCTATTAGAAAGTAGAATTAGCAACTTTTACTACGAATTTTCAAGCAGACTGATCGGCCGGGGAGGAGTGCAAAGCCTGGATGGCTTGGTAAGCAAGCAATCCGTTAAACGGCGCCAACTCCCCATTCTTTCTCTTCTTTCTTTTTGAAAGTCACGATCGTTTCAATCCGCGGTGTTTCGCGGATCTGGGAAGCGCTGGTTCGAATCCAGCTCGTGACAAGAAA